GAGTCAAGAGCTGGATCCACCGGCATTCGGTGAGCTGTCCAAACCCACTCGAGTACTGGGAACCCGCTTTCCAACCTCTCTCGACCTAAAGGGAGAAGGCACAGTACTCCAGGCCCGTCGAGTGGCCGTTCACAGTACAAGTGATCAGACAGACGCCAAATCAACCTGCGTGCTCATAAATGCAACTTAGCTCATCGGTCCAAGTCAAGAGCTGGAGTCGTCGGCGCGTAGTAAGCTAGCCAAATCCACTCGAGTAGTGGACATCCGCTGTCTCACATACGAGGATGGGCTTTCCCACTCCTATGTGACATGATGTGAAGCACGACCCATCGAATGACCGTTCAAAGTACAGAGGGGTGGCAAGACGTCTCCCAACAATACATGGTCATATCCCATGATTCTAGGAGTGACCACGTGGTCTCTCCACCATTTAAGAACTTCTTCCAGCCACGAAAGAGAGGTTCAGAACTTCCTCCAGCTACGAAGAAGAAGTTCAGCTGCTTTCAGCCATTCGGCGATTGGCTCATAGTTGAATCAGCTAATTGAACCACTAGCTCTCGACTGAGAGCAATGGGGTATTTATACCCACTCAAGACATCAGCCAAAACAACATTGAAACAACCAAAATACCCACAGAGAATCAAATCAGAATATAGCCGTTGGAAAGCAATTATCAGTTCGGCGGTCAACCGTGAGAAACTGGCGGTCGACCGCGAAGCACAAAATCCAAAAGAACTGTTTTGAAAAGCTAGTGGTCGACCGCGACGGTCGATCGCGAAAGTCTCTGGATGAGCCACGGTCGACCGTCACGATCGATCGTGATCCATTAAAGAGCAAAATGGGTTTCTGAACTGCTGGCGGTCGACCGTGGCAGTCGACCGCAAACCGATACAGGCTAAAATATAGGTTTTTGGCTGATTTGGAAAATATGTTAAAAATATCAAATCATTTCCAAAATTAGTTAAACTTTGGAGAAAGTTTCTAAATGATAAAATAAACATGTTTGAAAAGGAATTTTTGGAAATGCAAATTTCGTTTGTGAAAACTCACTGTTTTTGAAAAGAGTTCATAAAACCTATTTTTCGTGAACACAAAAATTGAACTATGGCTTTTTAAATTTTGTGAAGTATGAAAGAGATGTAAACATGAAATAAAAGCTATTGTAACAAAGTTTGATAAAAATCATTTGTATGATAGAAAAAGTCAAACTTGTGTTGTGTTTACATATTGAGCTTAAATATAATCATACGATATATGTAAGCAAAATACTCTTATACCTAGGTGAATGCACACACATGAACTTGAATCTTTAACTCTTGATTGCCATGTGTTGAATTACCTATAAAGAGAAGAAAAAATCACAAAAACTAGAAAACAGATTAGCTATAAATTATTTGATAAATCATCATCAAAACCATAGGACCAACAATCTTCCCCTTTTTGATGATGGCAAATAATTTATTTAGTGATATGAAATTCATATGAATAAACCAAATAAACCAAACATATGAATCATGTAGTTACATATGAATAAACCAACCATATGAATAATATGAATAAACCATATAACCAAACATCAACATTACATGTAGTTTTTCCATCAATATGAATAAACCAATAAACCAAACACAATATGTGGTTTTTCTCCCCCTTTGACAACATCAAAAAGGGAAAAAAATAAAAGCAACGCTCCCCCTGCATTCTGTTTGCGTCAAAAGTTGCTTCCATTAATAATTCTATTGAACTTTGGTCGTTTACATCAAATTACAATGAAAAAATTAGAAAATTACAACTCTTGAGAAACTAACACAGAAGTCGTTTATCGAATCCTGTTTTTGTGGGACTTTGCCTGTGCCGGGAATGCTTTGGTTCGTGGACCGCCGAATCACAGATCGTGAAGGGGGTTTACTGATTCTGACTTCGTTTATCGAAGTGAGAAATTGAAACGATATCTTATCAAAGTAAGATAGTCGTTCTTCTTAAAATCAAGTCAAAGCTCAATTTCAAGGAGTTGCACGAAAACTCAAATCTGCTCTCTCTGCTCTGGATTGCTCGAAAATATGCTCGATCCTCGTCAGAAATGACCCTAGGGGGGTATTTATAGCCTCTGGGGTAATAACTGCACAAAACTCAAACAAAACAACACGTTATGGCCGCGAGACAGTGTTTACTGTCTCGCTGGGCGAGACAGTGTTTGCTGTCTCGTGAATGATTTTCTCTATGTTTGGATATCTCTTAGCATTTTTTGACGCCTACAGATACCCCCTCCAAAGTATTCCAGACTCATTCTTTTATAGAGGAGCATGGGATACTTTGGATAAGATAGATTTTACTTACGATCCCTTCAATGCTTGGTTGAGTAGATCGTGTGAAAGGACTTGTGAATGGCTTCAAAGCTTGACCTCTTCTACTTTTAGTCTATTCAGTTCTTTGTAGAATAGCTAATGTTTTCCCGGCGTTGCGTTTATCGCTTGACCGTTGTCGAGATCTTGAATTGAAGTTGGTACTTGTTCCTGTGGGTTCATCTTTCATCACTGAATTGATATATCCATTGAGAGCTCATCAGGTTATTCTTAAGAATATTCAGATTAATATTCTCCAGAAACTTCCTGTTGAGGGTAGGGAAACAGTTTAGACTCGTGTACCTATTGGAGTATTCATGTGTATCAAAACACCATATCAAAACAATCTTTGCCATTGCATGTTACGAGATAGCTCATACTGCCCCGCTGTACGAGATAGTATATACGGTCTCGCAGTGCGAGACAGTATATGCTGTCTCGCTGTGCGAGACAGCAAATACTGTCTCACACGGCGAGACAGTAAAGTCTGTCTCGCTCAGCGAATCGGGGTTATAAAACCCCGACTTAGGTTTTTTTTCTAGGGTTTTCACGTTGATTTCTGGGCGATTTTCAAGCGATTTTCTGCAAGATTTTTGACCAGTTCTCTGCCTTTTCTCCTCCTCTTCATTTCTGATTTGGGTAGGGCTCTGTTTGGGAGAGATTCCACTCGGATTTCGCAGGTTTTTTTTGCCTCTTTTCTTCCAAACTTTGATTTTCTTCACCTGTGACCTTGCATGCATTGTTTCGGCCATACTTTGTGATATTTTGGTCGATTTCTTGCTCAAAATTCTGACCTTTTTCGTTGGGTTTCCTTGTAGATCATCATGTCGCCACGTCGATCCAGAGGTTCTCGCGGCCGTTCGACTGCACAGTCCCCTGAAGAGGCTGCCCCTGTTGCCGCTTCGCACGGGGGTACGTTTCTTTCACCCTTTCATGAATTCAAATATTGTATTTCGTCAATTTCATATATGTGTACCTGTATTTACATGCAGATCCTCGTTTGTATCCTTTGAGATACCCTCGAGAAGAGCCGGTATCCTCCTTTGAGGGGATCGACGCTTAAAAGTGTTTGTTTTGCTTGGACAAAACACACTTCATAATACACAGGGGCGATTTCATATCATCCCACATGTATTGAAAGTTTCTGGTATGCCGTTGTAATGCCCGTGCATAGTAACGCATATCTCCTTTATACATATGGTAGATGGAAAATCGTCACACCTGTTATGAGATAGCGATTATATCTTATGGAGTAAGATATACCGTTTTCTCTAAAATTTTAGGACTATACTTACACAGCTTATGTGTATCTCCTGTATCAGTCCATTTTCCTGCTACAATCTTCACCGTCGATGCAGTTACGGGCCAGAGTAGTGTCACTCATTCTTATTATGAGGGGCTACCGTTAATCGAGTCTGCTCCTCAGTTTAAGTCAGATTACAGCGAAGGGGCCCGAGAGAAGGGGCCCGAGATTTGATTCAACGAGGTAGTTGCCGTATTCTGCGACGGTTAATCACGGACGCAACCTTAATTTCAGAGCAGGACTCAAACCAGTGTATAAGGAAACCAGACTTCTTGTTTGGTGACTCCATAAAGGATCCGGCGATTGCTTTCTGCAAGCCTGCGCAGTGGTTACACGAGGATGGTTCGTCATTCCTGTACTTGCCTTTTATCCCTCGAGAGCATTCACTGTTAAAGTTCAGGAACTTATCGGTTGGACGTGAAATGTTCTGGAGGTTAACCGAAAACCACGAACGTATTCATTGTGGTTTCATCGGGAAAGAGGCTACTCTAGGTTCCAGTGAAAGAGCTTCTATACGAGGGCTTCATCCGGGTGTCTTAGGCCAAGACAATATACCTCAGAATGAAAAGACAGCGCAGGCCAACACTGTGAAGAATCGTTTGGCTGCAATGAAGAAGAAATTACCCCACGAGAGTTTCAGATGTTATGGATGGGTCCATTATTCTGGGGATAAATGGTGGTGGACCAGAATGACTCGATATGTGTTGAACCGTTGGGGGCGAGAGTTAGCAGAACTAGGGTTGGAAGTCCCGATCCGTGCCAGCATGCATGGTCTGCAAATTAGTGTAGGTCATTTCCTCCATTTGTTCGAGATCTACAATCCTGACACTAATACGTTCTTCACCAAGAACGGGGAGCTCGGGTTACCATTGCACGAAATGATGAAGGTGTCTGGCTTGCCCATAGGCGATGTTCTATATCAAGAGTTCTTCCCAACCACCAGTCAGCTTAATAAGATGAAGGATCGGTCATCTGTGACCCACGAGACTTTATGGGAGCTGACTTGTCATTATCATATAGCTATGGCTGAGATGGAAACCAAAGCTAGGAAGAAATCTCCCCAGGTCAGCTTAAAGCAATTCGCCGATTATCTGTTCAAAAACCTGGAGGATCGATCGGGAGAGGTATGTGGATTATCTCCTTTGAGCCCGGGTGACATCAATCGGCTGTTGGAGAAAACAAACGCACAATCTTACACTTCTCATTCAGAAGATGGGTTTCCGCACGGAACTAAATTCTGCTCTTATTTGTTTCAAGCTGGTGTTCCGATTCGCCCCACTACTCTGCTGGCTGGCTTTCTGGCCATATGATTGAAGAGATGTGTAGTTCCTCACCAGTCATCCGACGCTATGCCAATGGAAGTGTTGTATCCAGCCGTCCAGTTAGCCACAGGTCACAGATTATCCTTGCTTCCTGCTATGGTGGCGGCTATTCACAGTGGGTTACGGCAGTTAGTTTCCGCATTCACGCAAGAGAAAAAGAAACCCTCTGCCAGTATATCTGTTCCGAAACTAGAATTACCCTACACTTATTTGATGACATGGTTGGTTCTGCACCGGCCAGATTTAATGGAAGCTCCTGAGACGGTGGATCCTAGTCTTCCTCTTTTACAGATCCTTGAGGGTTGCAAATGGATCAAACATCGATGGCCGGACATAACGAGGCAGTTCAAAATTCATAAGTGTTGGGAATTCTTCCCTTGCTTCCCTCGGTTCTCCGGCACTTACAACACAACTTTATTGGATGCTGAAGACCCGAGGCAGAACCGTACAGTTCTAGATGTCGGATGTTTCAGATGGCTGCCCCCCCCCTTTTGTCTTTTTCTTCATTTTGTTTCCCCCCTCTTTGTTTTCTTTCTTGTTTGAATTTGTTTCCCCTTTTGTTTTCCCCCCTCTTTTCAAAAGAGAATTCATCTTCTTCCTCCAAACCTCCTCCATTGTTTTTCTTTCAAGAGCTCCATACCCCAAAGAAATTCGGTTTTTTGTATGCTCCTTCTTGGCCGAAAATTTTCACTTTTCACTAGGGTTTCTCCCTCCACCTTCAAGCTCGGATCTTGACTCTTGGATTGGGGATTTCAAGCCTCTTGATTTGGGTAAGCTCCTCTTCACCATCCTCTTATTTTGTGGTAAAGGTTGCATTTTTATTCTTGTGGTAGACTAGGGGGCATGTATGCACTATTATTTCGGGGGGTTTTGTGCAAAAAGAGGTAATGGCCGAAACTTTGGGGGGTTTATTTGCAAAATTCGTGGGGGTTTATTTGCAAAATGGGACTGAAATTTTGAGGCTTGGATTTCATTCCCCTTTGGTAACAATTTGGATGGGTGTTTCATGCAAAAAGACCATACCTTATTGAGGGTTTTATGTGCAAATGTGGGGCCGAAAAGTTTTGGGGGCTTATTTGCAAAAGTGGCCGAAGAATTGGGGTGGTGTTCATGTAATAGAGGACTGAAGTTTAGGACCTAAATTACATGTTCATTTGGCCACAAGCTTGAGGGGTATTTTAGGCAAGAGGACCAAAAGTTGTTGGAGGGGTTTATTTGCAAAACAGCCCATAAATGTCTTAGAGGGACTTATTTGCAAAAGGCAGTGAACTTATGGCTGAAATCCAATGAGTTTTGACCACGAACTCATGATCAAAATTTTGATAAGGCATGTGGAGCCCAAACCAAGATTTTGTAGAGGGGCTTTTATGCAAAATTGGCTGAATTCTGCAAAAGGGCTCATTTGCAAATTTTAACCAAAATTGTGGGGTACCGGGGTGTTATATGATCGAATGTGACGATCATGACCCGGGTCACGCGTGTCCTTGACCTAGATTTTGGCCTTGAACACAAAGGGTATTTTGGGTATTTCACCAAAATTCACCGTGAAAGATGACAATCATCGTGCACGAAATTTGTAGGTTTAATTAGACTTCAATTATGAAATCCTATTTGTGTATAGGATTTTAATTAAAGTTCTTAATTTCCCTTTTAAATTTCGTATATTCATGTTTTAGATTGTACCTGACTTGCTGCTTTTCGTTGCAGATTTGCAATGTCTCCGCGTCGATCTCGTCCCCGGAGGAGCCGTTCTCGTTCACAGCATAGTGAGGAGGAGGTCCCCACGACATCCTCTCCCGCGGCTTCATTTTTCGGGGGTGAGAATTTATGCAGAGATTTTGTCTTACATCCCTGATTGACCTCTTTGCGGGTCATGAAGGAAGAACCGATACCTCTCTCGCGGAGGGTAAGGTTTCAGACTTGTTTTGCTTAGCCAATTCAAGTCTTCGGATATATTGGGGCGATTTTGTGTTGTCCTACACCTTATAGGTCGGTGTACGTTACCACGTTATTCACGTGATGACGCATGCCGTCCTTCTGGTGTAGGTCACTCAAAATCGTCTCTCCAATTATTCCGTGGATGAGTCTATCATTCTTCTTACGAGATGGATTTTCTGATTCCGCCCTTGTGCTTTATTGCAGTGGAATTTCCCGCGGGTAGCCTTCCTCCTCACGCCAACACCGGATGTAGTCGGGAGGTTTTCTCTTCCGCTACTCTTAGGCAGGCTGTTGGCCCACTTCCTCGGTTCGACGGGGATCGTCCAAATGACTCTTGCCGTTCGATACAGGAAGGAGGGCGCCATTGCTTGCGCCAACTTATCACAGATGCCTCCTTCACCCCTGATTCTACTTCCACTCAGGTTCTAAAGAAGCCGGGTTTTCTATTTGGAGATCATGTCAGGGATCCTGCCACGCTGACTCTTTGTGAGGAGCATTGGTTAACTCTTGACGGTGGAGCCTGTTTGTACATCCCTTCGATTCCACGCCACTATTCTTTCAGTCATTTGAAGGGGCAAGCCGTGGACCGGCAGATGTCTTGGCATCTTACTGAAGATGCTGATCGGGTTCAATGCGGATATGCTACTCACCATAAGACTCCTGGCTCTGATGGGTATCATGACGTGCGTGGTCTACGACCCGGGATTATGGGTCTTGATACTGCACCCCCAGGCGAGGTGTCAGCTGCTGCTCCGACTGTGAGCAACCGTCTGGCTCTTCTTGGGAGACAGTTACCTCCACCGGAGTACAGATGTTATGGTTGGGCTTCCTCACTAGCCAAGGGGTGGTGGGCACGCATGACCAGTTTTGTCTTAGCGCGTTGGGAGAGGGAACTGAAGAGCAGTGGGTTGTATGCACCTATACGAGCCACCATGTACGGAATCCCAGTCAGCTGTCGCCATTTCTTGGCTTTGCTGGAGACTTATATGCCCGATAGCAACACCTTCCTGACCAGCGGTGGTGAGCTAGGGTTGGCCTTGCACGAGATGCATTATGTTTCGGGTCTTCCGATGGGGGACTGTCCGTATCAGGAGTACTTCCCTACGAACCAGCAGCTGGAGTGTATGAAGAAAGATACTCCGGACATGTATGACACACTCTGGGATCTTACTTGCCACTATTATACTTCCTTGATCCAGACTTCTCCTCAAGCGAGAAGAAAGAGGCAGGTCAGCTTGAAGCAGTTTGCCAGCTACTTGTTCCAGAACTTGGAAGGTGATTCCAGTGCGCCCATTCATGAATTAGACGTGTTGACCCCTTCCGCCGTTAATGAGTTGTTGGAAAAGGCTGAGGTTCGTTCCTACACCATCGGCAGTGCTGAGGGAGCTTTTCCCGCGGGGACCAAGTTTCGCTCTTTTCTCCGCCGCGCGCAGAAGTCTATAGGGTCCCGGACGTTATTAGCAGGCTACCTTGCCCTTTGGTTGAAGAAGTGTGTCGTCCCGCACCAACCTTCTGACGCTCTACCCATCGAGGTGCTCTTCCCTGCAGTTCAGCTGGCTTATGGGAGAGAGCTTTCCCTGCTCCCAGCAATGGTTGCTAGTATCCATTGCGGGCTCAGGGGTCTGGTTAGCAGTTTTACACATATGGGTTCTGAACCATCAGCTGAGCTGGTTTGCCCAAAGGTTGAGCTCCCTTACGCATATTTGATGGCGTGGCTCGTTCTTCACCGTCCCGACTTGATGTCGGCCCCCAGCGTTGTTGACATCCCTGTCCCCTTCATGCAATTGTTGGAGCAGAGCAGATGGTTTGGGAGCAAATTTAGTGATGTTCAGCGAGAGCTCCGGGTCCGCAAGAGTTGGGAGTTCTTTAAGTGTTTCCCTCACTTTTCAGGTCGCTATGGCGACGTGCTGGTTGATGAGGAGAAACCTAGAAGTGACCGGACCGTTCTTGACGCTGGTTGCTTCCGGTGGTTAGTGAACATCCGTGTAGGCTATCTCGTCCTTCGGGTGAAGAACCAGTGCCACATAGAGCCTTATCTCCCTTGCCGCTTTGCTCGACAATTCGGCTATGACCAACTGTATGTCGGGAATCCGAGCCGCAGCCTGCGGGTTGAGGGAGGATTGATTGATGGCGTTCGAGCGTGGCTATGGACGATGGTGGGCTGTACTGGAGCCCGTTTTGCTCTTCCTTCGTACCGGCGTAAGCCATTGATCACTTTCCTCAGCTGCAAGTGGTTCCTTTCTGCATATGAGTCCATCAGCGTGAGGAGCCTCTCAGAGTTGCAGTCCGAGTACGCGGTCCGGGCTGCTATGATGGCTGGTCGCAGAGCTGAGCTTGCTCAGAAGCGGAGAAAAGGGCATGCCAAATCTCTTGTCTCAGACGAAGAAGAACTTCTCCCTACGGGTGATGATGACGAGACCTCCGAGGACGAGTATGCGGACGCAGATACCGGCAGAGGGGATCTCGATACTGGTTTGTCCTATCTCTTTTAATTTTCATTTTCCATAAATGACAGCTCTTTTTCATTGAAATGGCTATTGTCACTTTAGGTAGGGCAGTCAATGATCATGAGCCACCAGCTCCTACACACGTTGAAACGTGTGATAGGCCTGCGCATGTTCGACCCTTTGGTCCTCGGAGGGTTGGTGCCCCGAAGAGGAAGAAGACCGCCCATAAGCCCCATGACGATCAGCGTCCCTGTGGAGTGGACTTAGGGAGCACTGCCGATGGAGGGGGAGGTAACATTCAATTGCTCTTGCTTCAAGGTTGTTTACCTTTTGAGGAGACTATGGTGTCGACTCGAGGAAAAGAAGCTGCTGAATCCTCGAGAAAAGGAAAGGAACCAACCCGCCCAACGGATAGTGAAGAAGAGTTTGATAGTGAAGCGACCGAAACTTCTGAAGGGGCGGACGAGACTGATTCAAGTTCTGAGGAAGCAGCAGGTCTCCCCGACTCTTTCTTCGAGAGAGGACTTATAAGATCTTCTGTCGCTCCGGCCCAACCACAAGCTGCTCCGAAAAAACGGAAAGAGAGAGTCGTCATGACCTATCCTAATCGGATGACGGTAGACGTTCTCAGTGGAGACGAAGAGGATGAAGAGGATACAGTGCCTCTTGCTCGTAGGCAAAGATCTCAATCTTCCACTCAAGCTCAGACTCAAGCTTCTCCCAGAGTTGAACTGCGCACTAAATATCGCCATGAAGGTTCTGAAGCACGTCCACTGAAGAGTCAGAAGAAAGCTGTTTCTAAGCCACGCGTTCATCTTCCTGCTCTAGAAGAGACATCTGATCATAGTGCTTCTTCTGATGAACAAGGTAACTATTTGTCTTTATCACTCTCATACTTCTTAACGCTCAAACTTATTTCATGCTCAACTTCTGTAGGGAGTCAAGAAGAAGGAGAATTGCCAGCTGATGCTGCTTCTCCCGGAGGTATGGAAACTGAGGAGACCAGCTTCGTCCAGCAAATGCAGGATGCTCTGAAAGAAGGACCAGCTGATGTTTCACCAACTCCTGACATTGATCCATCGGCTGCGGATACAGGTACTGATCTTTCTCCCCTCGGAAGCGAAATCCGAGAAATGAATGAGTCAGACCGTGTGCCTCCTTTAATGACCAGTGCGCTTTGTCTCCTTTTAATCAAACTAAAAGAAGCAGGTACAAGTAGTGGAGCTCTTGACTCTGTCCCTATCAACGAAGGTAAAATTAAACTTCGTCTTGAGCAAATTTTTCTAAATTTATATGGCATTTATGGCTCATCGCGTTCCGTAGATGCCACGATGCACGAATCAACTGAAGGAGAAACTATCCATGCTTAAGAAACCTATTTCCTGTAGTTTCTTGTTTTCTTTTGTTCGGTTCATTCTTAAAAATAAGAAATGAAATAAGATGAGATGAGTTGTCATTGTATTATTGGATGATGTGAAGAAAGATTAAGAAAAGTGTTTTCATAACTTTTTGGGATGAAAATAAAGAAATGAAATGTTGATGCACGAATCAACTGAAGGAGAAACTATCCATGCTACTAAAGTCGACGATTTTAATGATTTCGACTTTTATCTTGATATCTCAGAGGACGACCATCAGCGAATCATTAATTATTTGTCGAGGAAAACTCCTGATGTTGCTACAGGATCAGATGTTGGAATTGGTTCAACAGAAGCAGGTCCTTCTGAGAGTAAGGCCTTGGTTCCGTAAACTCCATATATATATATATATATTTAACTTGATTAGTCATATAATTGTTCGAATTATAGGACCAGTTGCTGGAACTAATACTACTATAATCATTGGAACATCTGATCAACCGGATAATCGTGATCTCGTGCCATGGGCGGGAACTGAGGTTGATTTGCAATCGTCTGTTCTCGAGTCTCAACCTACTACTCCTATGGACCCGATGATGATAGAAGTCACCGTCACTCCCCAGATTAGTCCGGTCGCAACAAAAGCGAGACCAACTGAAGAAGTTGGTACGTCGGCCGATGTTGTGCCTAGAGTTGGTGAGTTTTACCTATCATTTGTTTCAAATTTCGGATTAACATTCCATTATGCTCATTATAATCCTTCTGTTTGTAGAATCCCCTCCTAAGGAGCCTTTTAGCTTGGACCCGAAATTTTGAGGCTGAGATTGAAAAATCTTCTGACGTAGCTAGTGTGTCAAAAGCTGCTATTCTTGAACCCACATTGGTTATTTAGGAAGCTGGACTACCACCCTTGGGTGAACAAAGTCATGCTGAAGGCTCTTCCGTCGAACTTGGTATGCTTCAGCTCATTATTGTTTCATACCGATGAATCATACTATCAAGCTGGGGGTATGAACAAAACTCGAAAGAGAACTGTCCGGGAAATAAACTCTCATTGTTCCTGTGCGCGACTCATTAGAGCAATGCTATCAGAATGTGACTGTTTCAAATGAGAAGCCATCTCACGAAGAGTCTCGGTATTCCACAGTCTTTTCACCGAAATGTCGAAGCTTAAGCCGATCCTCAACCTTGCTTGACTCTATTAAAGCCCTGGCGTCCGATAAGGATCCCGATAAAGCGTTTATCTGTTCAGATATCTATAGTTTCGTTTATTTCCTGAACTTTATGATTGATCGGATTCTGCACCAGGGATCACCCTTTGACAGCTTCAGGAGATCACTTGATCGTCATATAACAGTTATCAGAGAAGATGGATATCTTGAATTGGCTGACTCTATTGAAGCTCACTTAGCCCAGCTGAAGCAACAATTTGAACACTTGAGGGACCTTAAGACTGGCGGTGTTTCTTCTTATGTATCTTCTCAAGTAGATCTCAAATTGCAGGAATGGTATGCTTCACAAAAATCAGCAGAGGTTGAGCTTCAAAAGTTGAGAGATCGTGTAACCCAAATGAGGTCGGGGATTGCCAAGAAAGTGCAGGCTAAGGCTGACTTACTTCAATCTTTAGAACAACATCAAGCTCATATAGCCCGCTTGGAGAAGGATCTTGTAGAGGCTAAGGACGCTGAGAATATTCTAAAACTTGATTTGGCTGAAGCTGAGCGCGTCGAAGCCGATTTATCCCAACAGTTGGAGCTTCAAAATAGGAAGCTCGTTGAAACTAAACAGGAAATTCTCCAAGCTCGGAATACCAGCGAAGAATCCCTAAGAGCCAACCTGAAATCTGAATTTGAACAAGCTTATGTGGAAATGCTCTCAGGACTTGAAGAGCAAATTTCTAATTATAAGTTATGCTTGGAT